ATGTCCTTCTTTCATTAGTGTGACAGTGTCTGTGTTGTCCATTGAGGGAACAGACTGCAGGCTGGATGAGCTGGGAAGACTCGCTGATCGCACAGGAGGGAAAGTAAGAGACGATTTGTAATAGTGTTGTGATGTGTTGCACAGATTTGTATAATAAGTGCCAGTATATTGATTATGTATATCACTCACCAGATCTTGTTGTCTGTGTGTCTTGTCCATGATAGGTGGTGATAGCAAGTCCTAGAAGGTTGCACCCAGAGTTGGAACAAATCATTGAGAACAGGACCATAGCGACACACTGTACTGTCACATTACTGCTGCCTCAGTCACTGTAAGATCTGCGCTTTGTATACCTTTATACTAATATTACAAAGTTCTTCATCAAGTGGTCTAATTGGCACATGAATGCACTTTAAATTATATTATTAACAAAGCCCTGACTGATGTTCTCCTTCGGTCCAGGCGTATGAGAGGAGAGAAGGAGTCAGGACACAAAGGGACCAGAGAGGTGGGGAATCTGGACCCAGATACAGAGATCACCTTCCAGTTTGGAGCCAATGAACAGGACGCAGAAGGTGAGAAAAAGTTTGTATGCCACTATTGACAGACTGACTGTATAATAGTGTGTCTGACTAAAGAAGAACTGGCCTTGAATTATGACACTCTTGACCGTTCTTTATTTTCTCACTTCCTTATTTTGGAGCCACTGTCTAGACTCAGCTCCAACAAGTGACCACGTGAAGGCTAACAGAAATAAACATTCACCTTACCAGAAATAAACATTATGTTTTTTTACCTTGCCAGTTTCACTTGCAGTTCTGCTGCCTTCCTCAGGAATATCACAGGTGGTGGTGTGACGTGTGCTACCAGGTCTTGCTGAACGTTGCAAAATGGTGATGATGCAAACCAGGAAAACCTGTTTTCATTCTGAGATCACTGCAAGCCAAACCGAGAGGGAACAAAGGTCATTACATTCGAAAACAAGAACTAACAAAGCTGGCTTGAGGAAAAATACAAGAATAGGCCCAGTAAAAAACAGAAGTCCATGTCTTACGACTTCTGGTCTGACAAAAATATTTTCATCTGGACGTACATGTCACACTACTACCTGTAATTTTTATTTTTTGGGATTTTTATTGCCTTTATGGATAGTAGCAGCTGAAGAATGACAGGAAAGTGGGGAGCAAGAGTAGGGATGACAAGCAGCAAAGAGCCTAGTCACTGAGTTCAGCATTTTTGTACATGGGGCTCGCGCTCTACCAGGTGAGCTACCAAGGTCCCCTCCTAAATCTGTAATTTTTCTGAGAAAGGCAATACCAACGGCAGAAACTATCAAGGCAAACAAAGAACTATTATAAGTCTGTTAGTAAGAAATAGCTTTCAGATTAAATTACTTTTTTCCCTGGACCCTGGACTTTCTCCAGGGATGGCAATGTCAGTCTGTTCATCAGTCGGTCCACCACTTTGGTCTAGGCTAAAATATCTCAACAACTATTAGATGGATTGATTACACTGACATTTTGTAGATGTTCGTGGTGCCCAGAGGATGAAATCTCTCCTGACTGCACCTCTCTCTCCTCTAGCACCACCATGAGGTTGACATGTGTCGTTGTTAGTGAAATATCTTGACAACTATGACAATTTGCTACAGGTGCCTTGGGGATAAATTCTGGTGACTTTTCCTCCAGCACCCAAAGTCAAAGTTTGTGTCAAATACTTTATAACTAAATACCTACAAAACTAACTTTATATCAGCCTTAGCTGTTACCTACTGTGTGTTTAGTGTTAATTTGCAAATGCTAAGCTAAGATTATGAATCCTGCTAGATATTGCTTGCTAAACATCAGCATGTTAGCATTATATTTTTTTATATGTTAGAGTATATTAGTGTGCTGATGTTAGCATTAAGCTAAGTACAGCCAGGAGTGTATCTATGTTCCCTGGGTCTTATGTCCCCCAGCTCAATATCTATATATCCTCTTAATGTAACACATTAAAGAGACCTTTCATAGGGTTTTACTTTTCTCAACAACCTCTTCCCCCTGGTCAATATGTTGAAATCACCTACAGCTTATAGCCTACTGATGTTATTCTCTTCAAAATCTAGGCCTTGGCAAGCAAGACAGTATCCTTGACTTCAGACATTGATATCTACTCAGTGATTGAATGGATTTTTACCATTGAAACGTCCCTCTCCCTTTGCTCTTTTGCAATTTAAACTGTAAAGATAGCACTTACCAATCTCTTACAATGTCAGTTTTTTATCAAGGCACACACATGCTTGGGAACATAGGACCCCGTACATCCCATGACTGTTTGGCACAACCTCAATGAGCCCCTAGCATGCCTGTTGACTATGATTCATAATTCAATACATACAGACACAGCTTAGCTATAATGCTGGGCATCTAGACTTAGACACAATAGACACAAATTTATTCTGCAGCAGTTCAACCTGAACTTGGGATCACTGAACACTTGCCTGAGGAGAGCAGCTTGTGGAGGGCATCAGATGCAGAGCGCTGTTTGACTCAATCGACCACTACAGCACTGATTTTTAGTTGTAAAAAAAGTATATGAACAAAACCAGACCATGATACCATATTAACTATGATCAAAAAGCAATATGTTCTTTTTCTGTGCTATAAAAACACTTAATTGTATTTTTGTTTTAAAAGCTGAAACTCGAATTGATTTATATTTATGTTCCTTCTCTCAGTGTCTGTGCCAGCCTCTGGTAGCCGTGTGTCCATCCAGCTGCAGATTAGGTACAGGCAGAGGAACGGACAGACAGTCCTTAGAGTGATCACTTCAGACCGAGATGTTACTGATGACAGGTAATAATGATGTTTCCATAATCACAGTGTTTTGAAATTGCCTCAACCACACACACCACTGTTGAACTGAGCTGTTTGCATGCTTGTGGCCTCCTCAAAAGCTTAAACAACTCATTATCTTGTGACATCTTTAATCAACAAGGCGTTCTCGCCCTGAGGACAACAATTGATTAGATGTATTATTTTCTACCAATCTTAGTGAACCTTTAGGCAAAGCAGTTTTTAAAACCCAAAGAGACTGGCTGTTGCTGAGATACCGGAGCCTTCATATCATGCAGAAAGGATTGCACCATGTAAATCACATTTCTCATCCATTCTAACATTAAATGAACCTCTCAACTCAAGTCTGCCTGCTTCATATACCGCATGAAGGTCATGCAATTCATCGTCTGAGCAGCTACAAAGTGGCCCCTGTGCGTGTTTGCACAGCAACACAATGGCAAGGCTGAAGCCATAAATGAGAAGCACTCTTATGATAAAAGTGTCACCCTCCTTCTCAGCTCGGCAGCCCTGTCCTCTCTGTCTTTGGCCATCATTCAGCTCAACTCGTCACAGGCCAGCGCCGCTCTGGCTGTGAGAGGCCGCTTCCTCGACGCCAGGATGGAGGGAGAGCTACAGATGAAGCTGATTGAGAGAGCAATGTGAGTTACGGGAGGGATGGAGGAAACTCTGACTGACATTAGCGTGTGGGCAACATGTAGAATGAGAGCTACTTTATGCTGAAGTCTGACAAATGGATTTAATGACTGCTGGTTTTATAATACACTCAACATGAAAAAAAGGAGTTTAAGAACACTTTGCATAAAATGTTATGATCAAAAGTATGAATTTAGGTGACAAATATGACTGCACTGCATTACAGAAACTGAGAGCAAAAGTAAAAAGTTAAAAGAAGATCAGATGAACTGGCCGACTCTTCAGTAGAAAACTGACATTAAAATGTTCAAATACATCTGATTAATCTGATGAACTGTTGATTTTTTTTATGCTTTTAAGACCATTATCATTTTACCTCAAACTGATGAACACTTTTTTGTAATTCAAAGATTCGTAAGTATTGACCCCAAGGTTTTTTTTTTTCATTTTTTGATTGTTTTTCTTGCCTAGTAGAGGATATCTTAGGCTGGGCGGATACTGTTCTCTACAAAGTGAGTGTGTCTCTGTTCACAGAGAGCATAATCGCAGTGCAGAGGAAAAACAGACATACCAAGAATGGGTTAAAACCATGGAGCCAATATACAACAACACACATAACTTTACAAGGGTGAGTTTTTACAGTACTTTTTTTTATCAGCTTCAGTACTTCACATTGGTTATTCTCACCGAAAATTAAACACTTTTTGTTTTTTTCCAGAGAAAATCTGTCGTTTCAGACTCACAGGTAATTCATGTCACGTACTTATGAATTATACTTCTTAGCACTAGAATACTTTGTCTGTTTTGGTTAACTTCTTCTGATAATTCTCCCTTTCTTCTCCTCCCACCAGTCTCTAACAGACGCTGGTGCAGCACTGCTCTATACCATGAAGCACAGCAACAGGAAGTCTATCTCACTGAAGAATAAACAGAAACTCTAACAGTCAGCCTCCACCTTTTACCCCGTTGGAAGCAACTCAAGTCATGAATGACAAGGACAAATGCTGCCTTTTGACTATCTGGCTGAAGAAATACCGTTTAAATACTCCCCAATGTAAATAATGTATGACAGTATATCAACATAAAACAGGGTCATTTGTATCATAAAGACATTCATTTCTCAGAGTAGGTCTTTAAATCTTTCCTTTCAGTGTTACAGATCAAAACTGCTGAGGTGTATACAGTGTACATGGGTGTGTATTTGACACCGTACTTGTGGCAGCTTTTTTGCGCTGACCAAAAAACTTGACTCAGAAACACCATCATGCAGCTAACACCTCAATCCTTTTGTCAGCAAAACACATCTCACAACATATGTAAACCTCAGACAGAAGAGCTAATACAGTTCTGATTATGTCATTGTGTTTTAATATATCTAATTTATTTGTACCAAACTTGACGATACAGCAGAAGATTTAAGCGTGAGTTTACATAAACATACAATATATGCACTAGATCAAAAGATGCATAGACACACAGTAAATATGTGTTTATAGATTTAATATATTCTAAATCAGAATAATGAAGAACAAGTGTCAATATTCAGAAGTTGCAAAGGTAGTGAGCAATGGAGTACATACAAAATACGACTGACCAAACAATGATCATGCCTGAGATGGAAGCCAGAGCATAAATAGACATGCGTTTCTCTGGGGCGGCCCTCACAACACAAACATGTAACTCTGAGCAGATGTTTGTCGAGCATTTGAATGGACTATTATCCAGTGCTGGCAAGTTCCAAGAAAGCAGAACATAAACAAACCAGGCCTCGATCAGAATACGCAGACAGACGCTGAACAGGTAGAAGCCTACTGCGCCTCTGTTTCTGTGTAAATCTATGACCATCTTGCCCACGGGGTCTGTGGTAGCAACCTGAGCCTCCTCCTTCCCCCGAGACTCCAGCTTCACATCAGTCTTCCCCTTAGAGTTCCTCTTCTGGGCCAGAGAGCGCAGGTGGGAGGTGAACAGCTCCATGAGCAGGACAGAGAGGGTGGCCAGGACAAAGATGAAGTTCCAGGCCACCATCATAGGTTTGTGGAAGTGTCTATTAAAACAGGCTTTGGTGCAGATGCTGCCAATAGTGCCGTTGCAGGTGAAGTCAGCGTCCAGTTTGGTGAAGGGCAGCTCGGCCAGGAAGAGGATCACCAGGCGGATGCACAGGAAGCCAAACCACACCGAGCGGCCCTTGTAGGTGGCGGTGGCATCAACTGCAGTCCGCAGGATGGGGATGAGGCCTGTTACTATGGCTGCCATCGTCTTTCCTGGCTTTGGTTGGGAATCTTAACAGCGTGGAAGTTGGAACAAAGGAAAACACACTGCATATATTGTTATGAAATATAAATGACAGATCATTTCACTTTCAATCATGCTTATATATCATGACAGATCTATATCGAGTGTCAGGAATTGTATCTTTGATTGTAGCTGTAAAAAAGTTAAAATTCTTCAGGACCAGAGGATAAGATTAACAAAATATTAAGTAAGTAAGTAAGTTATAAGTTAAGCAGAGACTGAACAAAGTCCAAATAGACTCCAAAGTCTATCGTTTCCTCTGCCCTCTACATTAAAGATTAAAAATGTCTTCTGTCTTTAAATGGGATATACCTCTAGACTGGACAATATTAAGCTTTAACGGTGCATATGTCTGACCAACAAAACTCAAAACTGACAATATCCCAGTCCTTGATTTTAAGAAAGCATTAATCACGGAAGCTGTTCATTTAAGCATTCACAAATGTCATAGCAAATATATAATTCTCTGTTTGTGCGTATGAAGTGGTTTTTAATGCACTTCAAAATAAATGGGAGTGAAGTGTGGCAGATAAGAGAGTTTACCTTTAAAGAGTTGCAGCCCGCTAATGGAACACTGTCGCTCTCGCTTTGCATTCAGTCTTTTATGGGTGCGAGATATTGTATGTCATCAATATATGTGTTACAGTTTCTCACCATAAGATGTGCTGACTTGGCCTCACTTTACCGTACCGAAGCAGCACTGTGCCTCTTCAACATTTCAAATGTCCACTGGTAGGAAATATTGCACACAGAACAGGTTTGTACATAAGGAAAGACAATAAATGTCACTAAAACGTTACCGTTTTTCACACATTACACATTTATTGGTATAAAAACGTAATTCTTCTTGCTTTAATATTTTGGAACACCGCTGACACTTTTTTTTTTAACTCGACAATTTATATGATAATTTGATGATACTAATACACAGTAAAACAGTTACAAACAGTTTGTTCCACCAAAATGTAAAATGAATTTAAGACAAGCTGTAATTTAAAACACATTATAAAAACATGTTTATCTGAAATCACAACATTTTAAGTGAACTTTTAAAGTGATCAGCATAAATGTTTAACACCACGTTTTCATGAAAACATTACAACAGACAATTTCATAGTAGGCTAGTTATAGTACAGTATACTGTATATTTTAAAACATGAACAATATACATAACATCTTTCAAATATCATGAGACAAAGCGCTTGTAATTTGCATGAGGGAAACTATTTTGAACATTTTGAAAATAACACTTCTGTCAAAATCAGACCCATCATCTAAAAAGATTTAAGGCCGCTGGCTAAATATCTGTGGAATCAAAATTCCAAAACAGTCAAAGAAAAAAAAGCTTAAGGTCCCTCTTCCTTGACTAAGTACTCAGAGGGCAGAGTCTGAAAAGCAGTCACGGGTACAGTCACTGGAACTGTCAGAGATATGGTGCCGGATTCAACAGTGGAGGGGGAAACCTCACTGGGGGGTGGGGGAGAGGGGAGAGGGTCAGTGTGAATAATGTTTATGTCACCGAGTTGCGGGGCGGCCGTGGCAGCGTCTGCATGAGTCCGTAAGTGCTTGCGAAGATAGGCGGCAAACAGAAAAGCTTTGCCACAGTGTGTGCAGCTGTGAGGTTTGCTGGTGGAGTGGATCTTCTGGTGTTTACGCAGTCCAGATTTGTTGAGGAAGCCTTTGCCGCAGCTGTTGCAGACATGAGGCCTCGGCTTGGGATGCTGCTTCTCATGCTCCTGCAAGTCCGCCAGCTGTGCAAACTCTGCCTGGCAGGTTTCACAGACATGTGAGCCCAGCGGCACGATTTTGGTAACAGTTGGAGGAGCGGAGTCGATGGAGTGAAGATTTTCATGTGCCTGAACTTCATCCCAGCTTCCAAATGTAGCATCACAGTGAGTACAGGAGAACTGAGGTAGAGTTGTGTGGGCAGGAAAGCCCGAAGCTGACCCGGCCTCTGTCTCCTCTTGTTGTTGTTGTTGTTGTTGTTGCTGTTGCTGCTGCTGCTGCTCAGCGTGCTCTGCTAGATGAGTTCTCTCATGTTTGCGCAGGCTTGAGGACACCACAAATGACTTCAAACACTCCTCACATTTGAAAGGCCTCTCCCCAGAGTGCACACGCCGGTGCTTGTTGAGGCTGGAGCGCTCAGCAAATGACTTGTCGCACTCGGTGCAGGAAAAGGGCCTGAGACCCGTGTGCACAAGCATGTGGCGCCGCAGATCCCAGGATGCTACGAAGGCCTTGTCACAGCTCTGGCATTTGTAAGGCCGCTCTCCAGAGTGGACACGTTCATGCACAGCCAGATCAGCTGGCTGACGAAACCTCTTGGAACACTTATCGCAGGGGTAGGGCTTGAAACCCAAGTGGGCTCGCTGGTGGCGGCGGAAACTGGATGGGTCAGAAAACATCTTGCCACACTGCGGGCAGAGGAACGGCTTCTCACCGGAGTGAGTGCGGAGATGAGACTGGTAGGAGGACAGCTGGGTGAAGCCCTTGCTACACTGCTCACACTGATAGGGTTTATTCTGGGAGTGAATGCGCTGATGGCAGGCCAGGGAGGAGGAGCGGGAGAAGGCTTTGCCACAGTCTGAGCACAGGTATGGTTTTTCTCCAGTGTGGGAGCGCTCATGGTTTTTCAGGTCCTTCAGCTCCGTGTACGTTTTCCCGCACTCGTCACAAGCGTATGGCCGGTGGCCCTGATGGTTCCTTCTGTGTTTTCGGAACACAGAGGGGTCGGCGAAACTCTTCCCACACTCGGCACAGAAGTATGGCTTTTCTCCAGTGTGAGAGCGCATGTGCACCTTCAGTTTAGACAGGGTGGGGTAGCTCTTGGAGCACTGACGGCAAGAGTAAGGACGCTCTCCACTGTGCTGTGTCATATGGATCCTCAGGCATATAGCTTGCATAAAGGCCTTCCCACACTCCGTGCATACGAAAGGTTTCTCCCCAGTGTGAGAGCGGCTGTGGTTACGTAGCTCCGTGGGCGTTTTGTAAGCCTTGTGACAGTCAGGACACTGAAAGGGGCGCTGTGCTGAGTGAGTGCGCTCGTGCTTTGAGAGTTGCGCCTTGCTTGAGAATGTTTTAGCACACTGAGGACATGGGTGTTGCTGCTGACGGTCCTTTACATGTGCTGAAAGCTTGTGGCTCTGCAAAGCCGACAGACTCCTGAAAGCCTCTGTGCACTCAGAGCATTTGACGGAAGGTTTGGCTTTCGGAGGCCTGCCTCTGCCACGTTTTTTTGCAGGTTGATCCCTCACCAGCTCTTCATTTGGCTGACTCTCTTCTTTCTGTGCAGGAGGGGTGTATTGCTCTGCAAGAGGTGGGCTGCCAGGCTGAGGAGAGGCCATCTTTATATCTGCAAAGAGATCATGTAAAAAGACCCTTTGTAATAATTAAGTAAACAAACAGTTCATTAGCAGCATATGAGACTGGAAGATTGTTGCACAAACATCAGGATGAAGTCCTGTGACAGATATGAATTAGGGGAGCAGATCTTCAGTGACAGTAGCTGATGGTGGACCAGAAAAAAAAAATCTGTATAATAATATAATAACAGAAATATGTGGGTGTGCATTAAATCACAAAATGGCTGGCATTAGGACCTCAGGGACAATAAGCTAACCGCTTTGATGCCAGAGGAAGTTGGCGATGTAATGACAGAGATCACGTATGAATGACTGGCATGTGCCCGACCGGAGACAAGGATCAAAGATCACGAGTTAGTGTGCTGGTGTTAACAACCGGATACCATATGTACGTATTCATTTTCGCTAGCTTTCTTGCTAAACATTTTTACTAACTCAAAATGGCTGGCTTTAGGACCTGTACCAATTCACTCCACAGTGTCATCATCAACATGTCCGTGATTATACGGGATGGATTTAGCTCGTATTAGCTGCCTTAGCATCTTGTGTGCATTTGAGAAATAAAGGCATTTCTTACCTGAATCAGGACATTAATAGTTGGTCGATAATGCCTGGGACAACGTCTGGGTACACGGCTGCATTTACTGTGAGACACGGTGATTGCTGGTTGAGCGGCTGCAGGATGGGGGACGGCTCTAGGACCATGATGACGAAAGCTCTCGGCAAGCCAAGTGTGCAACATTTTAATGCGTTTAATGGTAGAAAATATGAATATAAGACGCACATTAAATGTGTTAGAGTCCCCTGGTAAAACATGGTGGTCATAATAAAGCTAACAGGCTGTCTAACATATTGGTAACCGAGCTGAAGAGAGTATATTTCACAATGGCAGCGCCAGCTAACGCTACACAAGCTAACCCAACGTTAGCTGTGCTTTAGGAGTTTTACGAAAACCAGCAGCAAAATACTGCGAATAACATTAAAGTGCTTTTTATTTCCACGTTCAATATTTGCTTTGTGATTACTTTGACGCGGAGCTCGCCGCAGTTCGCGTTGACTCAACTTTTAGCCCCCCTAAGTTAGTCGCTTTTGAGAGGGGAAGTATTTCTCTGCTGCACATTTCCTGTTCCCTAGCAACAAGAGCAATGTGGAAATGGAGATGGAGGAAAAAAAGACAATTGCAAAGAAGGGGGTTGCCCTTTACATAGAAACAACGTTTTTAAAACGATGAATGAACATATATCTTCGGAGGCTTGCATTGAATCGTCACCGCCGCAGGTATTTAATTTGACGCATTTGCTGACGCTGTGATTCCGCGTTGAAAAACGACTTCTTGGCTTTTTTTTGGTGCAATGTTTGTTTAGCTAGCCACGATTGTGCTAGCTGGTGTCGCGCTAACGTTAGCCGACTCGTTTCCTCACACACATTTAACCGCAGTTAACCTGTTCGCTGTTGCCTGTAACCCGACGACAGCCCGCATGTTCAGTCTGTGTGTGTTTATAATGTCGGAGAGTGTGGGTGTTTGCAGTGGCAGTGAGTCTGTAGAGGAAGGCGTTGGTCTCCCGGTTTATTGACACAGCTAGTTCAGTTAGCCCGCTGGTGCAGAGATGGAGCAAAACACGTGAGGCTGTGTCCCGTTTCTGCTGACTGCATTCAGCTGAATAAGTGTGTCCATGAAGCCGGTAACCTGCTGCCTCAGACGCTTTTAAACCAAACATACAGTGGCAGTTTTTCCCCCCCAAAGATTCACAGACTTTGAGTTAAATTAGGGATCAACATCTTCGAAGCAGAACAAATATGAGATGTTGATTGTTATCGTGTTACTGAGCTGACACAGAAGTATTGTGCAGGTTAAGGTGTTTGTATTGTGGAGTGATTTAACATCTTTAGGAAAATGTGTGTTAACGTTGTCTGTATCTACCCAGAATCTATACATGACTCATTGGACTGAATACTGTTCACGTTACATACATTCACCACAACGCTAACTGGCATCTCTTCTGTCCTCAACAGCTCAATTGTCGCTTCTCGTGACCTCCAGTCACTCTCCTAACTGTGTGGAACTGGATCTCAACGTCCTCTGCCGTGTTACCTCCCTGGGAAGTCCTGGGACCTTATCGTAAAGATCTCATAAATCGTCTTTTTATATGGGCAATAAAGGCATCTAATGCATTTCCCTCCTGCATATTCATACGCTCTGTGT